ACAAGATGGTAGGAGTTCAACAATGGTTCTCATACTGTATATTGCTGTTTTCAGATCAGTCATTCTGGTTACCAGATTCAAGTATGCTAAATTGGTTAATAAAAAAGCAAATTTTAAGCATTGACTGTTCCTTTCAATAAACCACAGACATCAGCAATACACCTATCCCAGCTGTCCTTGTATATACATATAAATTTTGTTTTTTATTTTAAAGAGAAAAGAAAAAAACCCAAAGTAACAAAAACAAATACATAAACAAAACAACATAGAGAATATTCTATCACCATGGTTATTTGCTACTTTAAGCCCCATTTAATTCTTTGTGGGTATTGTCTTATACTAAGATAACAGAAGAAAAAGACAAAATTTTCCTTTTTGTAAAAGAAGGATGGTTTTGCTGAATATTGTAATTTAAATTGGTAGTAATTTTCTTTCATGGATGAAATACATCATTCCATTCACTCTTGCACTTTAGAATTTCTCCTAATGTGCAATGATTCTGACAGGTTTGTCTTTATAAGTGACTTGATGTTTCTCTCTTGCAACTTTTAATACTACTTTCTTGATCTGTACTTTTGTCATTTTAACTATAAGATGAAGTAAGGAAGCTCTCTTCTGGACATGCCTGTTTGGGATTCTACAGTGCCTTCTATGCCTGGATATCCATACTTTTTCCAAGATTTGGGAAGTTTCTCTGCTATCATTTCACTAAATAAACTTTCTATGCTTTAACTCTGTGTTGTGGCATCTTCTTCTATACCAAAAATTTGACCTTCTAACTGGGTCCGGGAGTTCTTAGATACTTTGCTCATAATTTTTTTATCATTTGTATGACAACTTACAAACTTGTCTTCAATTCCTGAAATTCTCCCTTCTGCTTGGCCTACTCTATTGGCTTTCCCTTGAGTTTTTTTATTTTATTTAATGAGCTTCTTATTTTCAATTCTTTTTGGTTCTTTTTCAGAATCTCCTTCTTTTTATTGAAGTTCCCCACTAGATACTCAGTTTATTTGTATCTTCTTTGAAATCACTGATCATTGTAAAAGTCAGTTTTGAATTCTTTGTCCAGCACGTTATCCATTTTCATGTCTTTGCATTTGCTTACTAGTGAGTTATGGACCTTTGGAAGGGTCATGTTGGCTCACTTTTTCATATTTCTTGTGTGACTAAGTTGATATTTGTGCATCTGTTGGAATGAATATCACTTACTTTTTTGTTGTTGCTATTGTTGAGACAGGGTCTGGCTATGTAGCACAGGCTGACCTTGAACTCACTTTGTAGCCCAGGCTGGCCTCAAACTTCCATTAATTGTCCTGCCTCAGCCTCTCGAATGCTGGGATTACAGGTGTGTACCACCGTGCCCAGCTTCTCTTCCATTTTTACATGAGGGTTCTTAGTGACCAGCCTTCTGTTGCTGTTTTGTTTTTGTTTTTGTTTTTTTCTGGTTCCGGGAATTAAACTCACGACCTTGAGCCTGCCAGGCAGGTGCTGTGCCACTGAGCTAACTCCCCAGCCCCCTAGCGACCAGCCTTCTTTAGAAGATTAAATCTCCAATCTGCTGAGAGAAGAGAAAACAAACTATGTAACAATAATAACACAAAGACAAACCAGATATCGAAATACAGTAAAAAGCAAGAATAGCATCATCAATGACAGAAAAGGACAATAATAATATAGAGTGAACTAAAGGCTAAAACTTTAGTCAATTGTAGGAAAATGGATGCAGCTTGAGACCATAATGTTAAGTGAAATAAATGAGACACACAAGCTTAAAGATCTCATGGTTTCACTTATATGAGAAACTCAAATTATACATATTATGTATAAGAGCAAAGTAAAAGATAGATAATGAAAAAAGGAGGTAGTTCTTTTTTCAAAAATGAAAGAAAACAAGGAGGAAGGAGGGGTAGAGAATGGGGTAAGATGAATGGAGTGAAAAAAAGAGTTAAGATGTGTTATGTATATGTACTAACTCCCCACAAAGAATATAATCATTATGTACTGCAAATATATACCAGTAAAAATAAAAATTAACAAACTAACAATGGTTAAAAGTAATAATAAGAAAATAATCATAATAAAATTGGAAAGGGCAGGGAAAAGAAAAATGGATGAGAAGCATCATAACAAACAGAAAGAATATGAGAGAAAAGAATGAGAGATTTTTAAATCTACTTACAGAATAAAAATAAAGTAATAAGAAGGAAGCATCAAGCAGACAAAAGAAGAATAAACAAGGAGGAAAAAGAAAAATGAGTCTAAAATATTCCTCCACACTGAGGTGTTTGGGTGTGTAAAAATTTGTCCAGGACCTGTGATACTGGAATCCACAAGGTATGGGGGAGGGGCGGTAAATCACACCTGGGGTCTGTTGTATTTTCTCTCCACTCCTACTTAACAGGCTGGTGCCATGTGAATACTCAGTCCTGTCCAGTCTTTCTATGAGGTATCAATAGTATATTGTCTGCCTCACATTCTACTCACCTCAGGGGCTTTTTATTGTTTCATTTTGTGAACCCAGAGCCACTACTATCCCTGGCTAGCTCTGTGAGATGTGGACTGGTCTAGTGCCCACTCCCTCTAGAGGCTCCCCTATCCATGAACATGAGGGCACGGCAAACGTCCAAGCAGAGGCATATTTCCTAACATGATGGAGAGTGGGGAAAGAAATAGACCAGTAAGTTCTGTACTGGAAAGGAGCAGTGATGGGAATCAAACAATCTTCTGAGCATTCAAATCCAGGTCCATCAGAAAACTGCACATGTAAACCACTGGATTTACACCTTGCAATAGCCCTAGGCTTCTTCTACAGCTAGGACTGTTGCTGCATTTGTCACTGGAGCTGTTAGCCTTGTGCAGAATTACCTTGTGTTTCCAGAGCTAGGTTTCCTTGTTCTCCAGGAGTCAGGATTGAAGTGGTAGAATACTTTATACTCTTCCCTATATTGTCTTTCCTTTCCTGTATGCTTTTTACTTTTCCTCTTACCTCTTTCTTGGTACCTGGAGCTCTTCTTTTTTCTGTCCTCAGAATATAGTTTCTTCTTCTTAACCCTTAGCTCTTCTCACTTTCCAAGTCATGTGAAGAATATATCTGTTCCAACATTTTACCCAGAACCTACACAAGTTTATTTTTGTTTCAAGCTCAAGTCCACGTTGGTGGCCCAGTGTCAAGGACACAGGCACTTCCACATTGCTGCTCTGTTGCCTTCAAGTCCTATTTTCATCTTGTGATCAAAGAGAGCTGCTTCTCACCATCTTATCCACAGTTCAAGAACTATAATAATGAGCAAGCTGCTTTCTTTTATCACCTATGAAAGCAGAATCCCTCTGCAGTCAAGAAAGATGCTTTCTAATGGAAGTAACACACCATAGCCTGGGCTTCCCCCAAGCCAACTTATCAGAGTTTAAGTTCTAGACCTGAAACCAACATAATAACATGTAATTCCTCCTGCAATAATAGAAACTCATACCACTCCTTCCTAATTCATCCATGTGTGTCAGCCAAATTAAAGACAGAATACTCAGTCTCCCTGAAGAAAACTACAATTTATTAGGAGTAAAATTTACAGCTAAGAATCACACCTCAATCTAGCAATACTACATTTTGTACTACTTTGATGGCTGGAAATTTAAGAACATAAGAGTTATGCCAATAGAGGCATGGTAGTGCATTCCTGTAATCCCAGAACTCTAGGAAGCTGATGTAGGAGGATTTGAAGTTTGATTCCAACCTGAGAAACTCAGAAAATTATCAAGACCCTGTCTCCAAATACTTAACTTTTTTAAAGGCAGGAAATGTAGCTCCAGCACAAAGGCCCTGGGTTCAATCCCCTGTACTCAAAAAAATATATAGTTATACTAGCTCTTAGGACAGTGTCCTACAAGCAGGATATAATACACTGATTGTAGCTGCCTTTTCTAAGTTTTTACGTGGTTGCTACTAGCAGAAATGTGAGATCTAATTGACATAACTCCATATCCACTATTTATAAATTTGTTAAGGGACATGACTGCTTCTCAAATTACAGTATCACAACATGTATTAGAGCTGTGTATACCAACACCAGAATCTAGCACATTTTGTTAGATACTTATTCTGTCTGTACCATAAGCAAAAATATTTTTTAAAACTTAAAATACAAACATAATTGTTTTAAAAGAGACACACTAGTGTGCTTGGTGGTTATATTTTTAAATCCCAATATAATTATATTATTGGATATTTGTTATTGGCTTAATTATTGTCACCTTTGACAGTTCAGTTGATCACTGTTTCATGTCCTACGGATTTTTTTTGGTGGTTTTCTTTACCACCCACTTCACTGTGGCTGTAGACAGCAGGCAGTAGTTCCTATGACAATTTATTGATGAAACTGCTTGTAAACAAGTTATCTGTGAAAGATCCAAAAAATGTTGTTCTTTCACAGGTTGATTTAGAAAAACAGATGTCTAATTTTAAAATATACATTTTTGGTAATTGATTGCAATCATTAAAAAACAATCTGGACCTGCCTAGAAAGGCAGCATATGAAAACATCAGAGTCACAAGACAGGGACAGTAGTACTACCTCACTACTACCCTTGCAGTGACTGGTTATTGATGGATGTGTAAGCTAATGTTTTATTATACAGAGCAGTCTCAATCATGAAAGAATACTTTTGAGATTTTACTCTCCTTCACAATATCTTAGTGCTACTTTTTAAAACTGCCTTTTTGTTGAGCTGAATGGTAGGGCTCTGATTTGTATTAAAATTATAAGCTTACACTAGTATAATATTTTACTGGACGGGTGTCGTATGGCTGAAGAAGAGTGTGTGTGTGTCTATATAAGAGATGTAACTTTTGCAGTATATAAAGAATCTCTATACCTTCATTTCTTGATATGATATTTCATGACCCCTGTAGCATACTGTATTTGTTTTCTCCATCTCTAAAAAAATTGGCTAAAACACTTTAGAAATTATAAATTTAGAATATGTTAATTTCCACCATGTCTTACCTAAGAAGTCTTTTCCCAGATGTTCTAGTATTTTCTTCATTGTGAAACACCTGGATGTGAAGATATGAAAAGCCTTGTTTTCTCTGTGCTGTTCAGCTACTTTCCATTTGGTATTATGCACTCAAATTTACATTCTATTAAATTGCCATTTCTTAAACATTTTTCATGCACAGTAAAAAACAGAGAGAGACTATACTGGTATTATCTTTAAGATCTGCAACATACAGTACCTGCCCAACTTATATTTTGTTTTAAACAAACAGCATTCATATTACAATGAAGGATGTTTTTGATGCCATCTCAGTTTCTTTGAAGAGACCCTATTGCTACCCAGGAGCTCAGTAATCTGTAGCTCACTGCACTAGCTCAGCAATCTTGAGAAACTCTAAACCTGGAAGTGGGCAAAGGTTGAGACTTTCCATACTCACTCCGGACAGTGTTGCATGATCAGTCATAGGATGAAGGATTGAAGGGTGGCATATCCAAAGCAGTCATGTACCTGTCCTATCTCCTACCACCTCTGATAAAGGGCATAGAGAACTGTTAGAATCTGGATTTTTAAAAATAACGAATGAAAAAGTATTCACAAATCCAGATAGCCAGATACAGCCCATAGGCTATGGTGCCAAGTGCTGATGGGTATTCTTTGCGTTAGCCTAGTAGGAATAGCAGGACTATTCATCGTGGAATGGCTTCATTCTATATAGCCCCTACCAGTCATGGGCTCTCGACTGTATCCATAGTAGGAGCCAGTGAGGAAAGTAATTGGGATGTGTTCAGATCAATCACTCTCTGTAGAACACCCTGAGTACCCGCTGGCGAATCTGTCTAGTCTTCACCCCATAGACAAGAGGATTGAGAGCAGGTGGCACAAGAAGATAAAGAGTGGCCAGGAGAACATGGACGTGATGGGGCACATGGTGACCAAAGCGGTGAGTGAGGAAGGAGAACATTCCAGGGATGTAGAAGACCAGAATGACACACACATGAGATCCACATGTGCTGAAAGCTTTGAGTCGGGCCTCGCCCCCTTGTACTTTCAGCACTGCCTGGAGAATAAGGGCATAGGAAATCCCAATGGCCAAAACGTCCAGCCCAACTACAAGCAGTGCCACGGCAAGTCCATAAGCTCGATTCACTGTGGTTTGTGAACAAGCAAGTTTTACCACAGCCATATGCTCACAATAGGCATGGCGTATGATAGTAGCCTGACAGAAGCTGAGGTTCTGCAACAGGATAGGAAAAGGGATGAGAAGAAGCAGTCCACGCACCAGCACTGCCACTCCAATGTGCCCTATTACCCCTGGATGCAGGATGGTGGAATGGTGCAGAGGGCGGCAAATGGCCACATATCGATCCAGAGCCATAGCCACAAGTACACCTGACTCCATGGAGGAGAATGCATGAATGAAGAACATCTGCGTCAGGCAGACAATGTACCCAATCTCATGAGCATGAACCAGAAGCACTGCAAGGGCCTTGGGTGCAGTGGAGGAGGCCAGGACTAGGTCAATGGCAGCCAGCATGGTCAGGAAGAGGTACATAGGTTGGTGCAAGGAGGAATCAGTCCAGATGATGAAGAGAATGGTAACATTACCCACTAAAGCCAGGAAGTAAAGGACACCCAGGGTCAGTGCTATCCAGTGCTGACTTTCCTCTAGACCTGGAATACCCACTAGGAAAAAAGAAGGTTGGGGGAATCTCCAGCTGGAATTGCTGAGGGCCATCATCAGCAGATTAGAGAGAGAAGAGAGAAAAGAAACCAGTAGCACGATTGCTCCATTCCTGCTGCATGATCACATTGGCCATATCTGGTTACCATCTTCATGCAAATAAGGTGGCTTAACCTACAATATAAAAGAGTAAAATGAGACACAAGGAAGAGATTTCCTTTTCTGAAGACAACCTTTTTATAATTGAAACCTTCACATGTCTAAATTAGGATAAGCATAGTTTCATACAGCAGTAAGAGTAAATTCATGTTGCACTGAAAGAGATGCTTACGCTCTCCCATTCAATCACTTATATAATGGAACTATCAACATGAAAGAATTATCTTTACTAATCTCTGAGTATTACTGAACACGTAAGTGAGTTTGTTGCTTTTGAAACTAGTCTCCCAGGTTCCCATGACCTAACATTCTACAGCTGCTGCTCCTGTCACTCCCGAGAGCTTCACTATCTTCTCCATCTCATTGTAAGCTGATTCCAGAGTTCTGTCCTCTCCTCCTTTCCCTATTCCATTCATTATCTCTGCATTGACCTCATCCATTCCCAAGGTTTTAATTATTTATATATTTTCATTTATTCTAAATGTATGTATTTGAGTCACATACCTTTCTAAACCTCAAGTCCATTTTTCCATTTGCTTCTTTAACAGATACCATACACAGCATATTCAAGACTGGATAAACCTTCCTATTGTTCCCAATCTCTTCTATCTCTTGACAAACTTTTTATGAATTACATTATTATATATCCAACCTGATCTAGAAACGTAGAAACTATCTTTATGCATTCTTATATATCCTCCCTGTTAACCCTTCAATTCCCACTGACCATATTTTTAACCTCTCTTATAGATACTTCTTTTTCTCACACCCCAATTATCACTGACTACCTTAGTTCACACTGGATTGTTTCATTAGGTTTTACTGCCCTTACTATGAACCCCTTCCCAACCTATTTTCAACTCTGAGATTACAGATTTTCCTGAAGTGCCCATGACATCATGTCACTCCTGTGGTTAAAGTCCTTCAGTGAACTAAATGCAGGGAATAAAATCACGCATTTAAGACAGGCATACAAGGTTTTCAAAGGTTATCTTTTGTATGTACCTTATGTCTTACAGGTAACATATTCCCACATGTATAGTCTGCTTTAGCTTCCACAACATTTTTGGAGTTATATGAGCACACCATCTTATTTTGCACATACCTCATGTGTGTTCTTTCTTCTTCCTCCTTTATAGAAAGTGATCCATCTCATTCCTCAAGAGTCAGAGTCCATTCCTTCTTCCCCTTTAGATGGACTCTTTAGTTGTGTTAGATCAATATATTATGTTAGGAGCTCTTTATGATGCCCTTTTGCTCATCCATAACTGTGTGATATATCACCACTGTAAAAATCCTTTCAGTGCCTTAATGCTTTAAGAGAGAGAACCACATTTCATTAACCTTGGTATTCAAAAGCTAGCATGGGAGATCACTTCACAATGCAGGCAAATAGGGGCTGAGGATTTAGCTCAGCGGCAAAAGCACCTGCCTGGCAAGTGCAAGGTCATGAGTTCAGTTCCCAGTACCAGAGAAAAACCAAAAAAAAAAAAAAACACAATGCAGGCAAATAAATAAAACTTTGGAGACAGAAAACGGGTTTATGCTCTATCCTTTTCATATGCTAGGAATAAAACTTTGGTAGGCAATTTAGGCTAAGTCTTGAATTCTTCATTTATTAATAGAATAAACATCAATCTTAAATGATGCAAGTAGAGACTTGATGTATGTTATTCTATATATGATAGTTGTCTTTATCATTAACACCAGCATTAAAGGATGACTAAATATGAGATCACAGTTTTCTCTTTTTGCTTTGCCTCCGTGATTCTCCTCTGCTTCAAATTTTCCATATGCCTGTCTCTCACCATGACTGTTACAATAATTCAGTGTGTCTGACATCTCCAAGTACCAAACAAATAGGTGATTTGTTTAACCTTACCTATATGATTCACTCTGCCTCAAACATTGCAGCAAAAAATCTGAAACCATGTGTTTGTGTCTGTGTGTTTGTCTTAAAAGATAAGTGCACTCTTAAATAGTATTTTCCAATACCAGAGAGTCCACATGCACATGTAAAGATGAAGTTAGGATTGTCTCTGTTCATGTGGGCTGCACATCTATAGCTCACCCAGTGTGTCTTTTTCAAAACTCAGTGGTGCCTATAATATTGCCCTGAGATTCTAACCATAATAAGTATAAAATCTGAAATGCCTGGTTGGCATGTATCTACAAGCCTTTGTGGTTTTTTCTAAAGTCAGTAGCAGCGACATTTCTACTGAGACCTCCAGGAGAATCTCAAAATTACACAGAAATTCACCTTTCGGTGCTTGACATTCCATAGACAGAAAGTTGATTCTCTTTCTTAGCTAATTCCTCTGCTTTAAGCTTCAGCCCATTTCCTGTTTTTAGCTGAGAAGTTAAAATAGTCGTTCAGTTATGAAGGCACCCATGCTTTGACAGAAGCAATGTCATAGGGCATATGCAGCTGAAGCCAAACTATTGCAGGTGAAGGAGAAAAGCAGAGATACTGGTCCCTGAGAATAACCTCCTTCTTTGTGCTTTGAGATGTGTGAACTTGGAGGAAAAGCCCTGAGATGCTTGTTAAGTATTAATAGTCAAAATAAATAAAAGATTCTTATGTGATCCTCAGAGGAAAAGCTGACGGGACTTTATTCCCAGAAACCTAAAGCCGAAGATGTATTTACCTGTTTGACAAAGAAGAGAGAATAATTGACACAGAACTGACATAGTTTAACTCATGTAGGTTCAGTGCAAACCACCTGTATTTTGTGAAGTTCTGCTTGGACTCTGTAAGGCAGTATGACGTCTCTCATTTTCTTCCTTATCCTAATCCCTTACTGGTGCATCACTGCAATGATTGCCTATGCTGTAAAACTACTAGGTCAGTCCCTAAAGAGTAGGGACTATGCCTTATTTGCAGGAGTCTCAGGGCAAGCTCCAGAAATGACTGGAATCTAGGTGGCACTCAGTAACATTGGATAAATAAATTAATATGCATATGATTAAATTAATGAATAAATAAGTATATGGATGTCATAAAAGTGGGAATTGTGGGAACTCGGCAAGGCAGAGTCTGAACTTAAAAAACAGGACCAAGGCAACTCAATGCTCCTTATCCTAAATAAAACCCTGAGTGTGTCATGATATAATAGCCCCTGCTGAATCTTTCCACCCTAAGAGGGTAGGAAGAAATCCTAGATGTGTGTCAGAAATGAGGGGTTCTTATGGCCACTAGTAGTCACTTCTTCCACTGCCTCTAAGTGGGCAAGAAGGCTCCTCTCCAGTGTGTGACCTAATTCTCTCTCTTTGATCTCTTTCTTAACAGTCAACTGAACTTCCTGAAAATGAAAAAAAGGGACAGACAAGAACATAGACAAAAAGATATTAGGAGAGGGCACAGAAAATAGTGCTCTATGACAATGACCATTAATAAGAGATGAAGATAAGAGAAATCAAGCACCCAGAGGCAAGACAAATCAGACACACATATTTATACAATATGCCTGACCAGGGCACTCTCCTGATCTCTGGGAGTTATTCTAGGATGCCCCTTTTAGTGTTGAGTCAGCAAGACACAGAGAATTGGGAAAAGGAGAAAATTCCAACAGTCAGAAAATTTCCACCATATCCTCCCCCTGCTCAGCTCTAGACATTCCTCATCTCCGGTTTAATGTCCTTGATGATCTTCTTCCCTAGCTTGGGAGTAACGGTGATTAAGAGAATTTTTCATTCAAAAGGGCTGCATAACAGTCTCTGAACGCTAAAGAGAAAATCAAACACATCCTTCAAGTTCTATGTTGCTAACTTTTGCAAAGACATGAAACATGCCTCCTAGCTGTGCCAAGCCTTGAATAAAAGAGCTACATCATCATGCACTGTATGAGTGGTGAGAATGCCAACCTCACATCATGCTGAATGCCCCATGAATGCCTCAACTAATCCTGAAGGTTTCATGATATTTGCAGTTGTCTGTAGTCACATAAACTAGCTCGTATCAATGTGTTCTCCCTGAATTTCTGTCATTATTCTCAATTTTCTATGACAATGCCTATGTCAGAACAGAAGAGAACAACTACTCTGATTCACAAGGAAATAAACTTGAAATTACTCAGAGGTGTTCAGCTAGAACCACACAAACCAAGACAATAAATCCTCATCATAAAGGCAGTGAGAAAAGAAGAGGCCAGTTGTCAGTACACTTCCCCCAACCATAAGCCCTGAGCCTGACCTCAATTTCTACACTTGATGTCTTGTTGCACCGTCTCACCACTGGTTCCGTCATTTTCACCATGAGAGTCCGTTCTTGATGTTTCCCCAAAGCATGGACAGTGACTGTGAATAGGTACTGAGATGGTAGGATGCTATTATCAGTTGGAAGGTCTCAGAGGACTTAGAGAAACACCTGGCCAAAGCCAAAATGAGCCTGCAGATTGGTGTGAGGCACAAGGAGCTAAGGTATTACCCACAGGGAGAGGTTGTCGGGCAGGGAGTCAGAGCAGGTAGTGGCACCTGTACCAAACCAGGTGGCTCATCTCTGCCCAGTGTTACCTATACCCCAACCCTGTACATCCCTAAGCTTTTCTAGAAAACATCAATTTCTGCCAACTGGGAAGTCTCAAACTGCTCTGGAGCTCAGATTTCTCACTCTTGCAGGGCAATCTTCAGTGTGTTTATTCCTCTCAGTTCTAGGCATATTGGCTGATAGAACCTCATAACTGAGTCACTTTTGTGGTAAAAAGAACAAAGCTGCTTCACCGAAGGTTACTTTTCCTTCTTTTTTGCTAACACACAATCACTGGTTGTGGGGAGCAGCTGAAGTTGGAGAATGATCATACATGAGGGGCTGGAGTAAGGCCAATCCAAGAACAAACAGCACCTGAGATGAGCTATGTGAACAAGCTGTACCAGTCCAAAGAACACCAGGTGCCCAAGGCAATCCAAGCAATGGGCTGCTAGGCAGAGAGGTGTCACGTGATGTCAACCCTACAAAATGTATAAATAAACACACTGCAGTGGTTGACCACTTCCTTTTCCTCCCATCCAGACAGAGGGCTCCACCTGATCCCAGCTTTCTGTATCTTGTCTTTATTTCTTCACCTTCTCACAGCCCTTCAAGGTCCTCATCTGGGAAGTTTAAGAGCTATGCCAGCTGTGGCCACTGGTGATGTAAGGATACAAAGACCTAACCCACTTTATTCAACTTAAACAACATTGCAGCATCATTCCAGCTCAGGTGGTCCCACTGGGCTAACTGAAGTACCTGAGAAAACTGGGTCACAGTTTGACATCTTTCTGTGCTCATCCTACTCTCCTCACTCCTGGATAGTCATTGTTCCCATGGGTACTCCTCAATAAAAGTCCTGCGTGCAGACCTCTCCTTCCATTTCCATTTCTGCTGTGCTCAACCTAAGACATGTATTAGATGAGCTGAGAGCTTTACTGTGTAGGAATGTGACCACTCAAGGACATCAACCTCATTGCCATAACAAGTGTTTGATGCGCAGGGCTCTTCAGACAGTCCACTCCAGGAAATTCTCACGGAGATGGACTCAGCCTTCTGCTGCCATGTCTCCTCATTACCCAGAAGATCCTTCCCATGGCCCCATCTTTGACTAAACTAGTTAGCATTCCACCCAATGCCTCATTCCCTTTGAGAATAATGCTTCAAGTGTGCAATCCTTTCATTCACCCAGTCAACAAGTGTCTTGGTTACTTTTCTCTCGTTGCTGAGACAAAATACCCAACGCCCAAAATGAAGGAAGGAAAGGTTTATTTAGCTTACAGTTTGTGGAGGTTTCCGTCCATACTTGGCTGGCTCCGAGGCAAAAGGTAGCAAAGCAACAAGAGCAAAGGGGGGAATGGCAGCTGAACAGCAAACAGCCAGAGCAAAACTGGAGGAATGGCGGCAAGCAGCTTTTTTCCCTGCCTTACTTTGTAAACAGGCTACCCCCACCTAAGGGGTGTGTAGCTCTCACATAATCTTTGCCCTCCTCTTCCACAGGCTCAGGATGTATACAAAGTAAGCACCCTGGCTTCCTGCTGAGTCACTTAGCCAAACCTCTAGACTCCCCAAGTTGACACAATGTATCAACCATAACAACAAGTATTTCACTCACAGCTTGTAGAAAGCCTTGTTTAATCAATAAATATACACCTTCCCTACCATCCAATTTTTCAGTTTTATAAAGATGCAAAAGTTATATGCATGCAGTAGGAACTAGGCAATTTTAACTTTTGATCTTTTCCAAGCTAGCAATATGTAATAAAACATTATTGCTGAGGGCCGGGGATATAGCTCAGCAGCACAAGCACCTACCTGGCAAGCACAAGGTCCTGAGTTCAATTCCCGGTACCAAAAAAATAAAATAAAATAAAAAAATTATTGCTGAGCAGCAGCAGTGAGTTGTAGTTCCCAGTCAGTCACACAATCATGAGAGTGCAAGTGATATTCTACAGTGTACCGTGTTGCTAGGATTGCCAATGGGTTAGGCTTATTAAACGCATTTTTGACTTATGGCATTTTCAATTTGAAATGGGTTCTTTGGCACATAATTCTATCAGAAGTCAAAAACCACCTGTTTTGAATATCTCCCAAACTCTAAGTATTCCACTGATATTTAAAAAAAAAATAGTGTCATAAAACAGTCCCTGCGAGTCATTGGATGATATATATTAAGTACATGGTCACCTAAGTAGTTAAGAGCATTTATAAGTATTTTCAATTAAGACTACAGTGTGTTGAATGTACACAATAGAAAGAATTTTCCCATCTAGGGAGCTCACAAAGGACTTCCTTCATCCAATTTAGGAGCCAAAAGAACCGGTTCAAAGTGAAAGTGGCTATAAGAGTCAGCTGAGGGCACAAAATCTATAAGCCAAGAAGAAACAGAATCTTTGTTTTTTTCTTTAATTCAGGAAATAAACCTAGACAGTAAGCAAGAATCACCCCTACATAGGGTCCTTTAGTCCATGTTAAAGAGCTGTGGAAAGCTATGAAGGATTTGAAGCAGAAGACTGATACATGATCTCATCAACAAAATGTCCTCCTAGGAGAAAGGATAGAACTTGTTAAACAAAGAGAGCGCACAGCTAAATTCTTTTTATGTCTCCTTCCCCTCTGCTCCATCCCCCATCTCCCCTGAATCTTGGTCCTTTTCCTCTCCTGCCCCTCTCTCTGGCCCCTTCCCTTTTGCAAAAGTTGTCTCCCTGTTTCTGGAGAATCAGCTAGACAACTATTTTCAGAGATATAAGCTATAGAAATTGAAAAATGTTTAAATGAAAAGATTGCTCTGTTTTGTTTGTCTTTTGCTATTGTCCTTTTTTTGTACTATTTCCTTTAAAATAAAAAAAATTTTAAATAAAAAAACAAAGATAGTACCTATCAGATCGTAAATGCAGAGCTCTCTAGAGAGGTTCATGTCATGGGAATGGTAGATGGGTAGGAATCCTTGGAGATCAAGAAATAGGGAACGTGAAAAGCCACCCACATGGATACTAATGTTTCCAACCAGGATCATGGGGAACCAAAAAATAGAAGATTTTGGCCATGTCATCGCTCAATGAAGGAGAGTAACAAAAAGAGATAACATCAAGTAAGAGCAGTACAGGGAGGTGTGCATGGATGGTATTAATCCCAGAGGGCACTAGTTTGCGCTTGCTTGCTTGCTTGTCTGTTTTTACAAGAAAAACATTGTATTTGGGAAGAAGCACACTAAACTCACCGCTAATCCAGAGATAGAAAAGGTCTGAGAACATAAATGGTCCCTACTAAATGGGAAGTAAGACATTTTCATCTGACATAAAATGTGAATAATGATGACACTCGCTCTGCTTGCATTTTGAGGACGTTAAATGAGAATGTGTGTGAAGTCTTTACCTAAAGGACCGAGGTACATTGAAATAAGAGCCAACACAGAAAAGCTGTCCTTATTAATAAGTTTTTTTTTCACTAATACAAGATATTCAGAATAGAATTGTTCAAAATTAGTTCACCCAAACCACTTAGACTTCTGAGTCCTTTGATGGTAGCCTTTCTTGATCTTTACCTGCAGAGCTCTGCTCCACTCCCACCTGTGGAGCAGAACAAGGATAGGATCAACCTGCATTGCTTGCCCTGGATTGGAAGAGCCACCTCCTTTCCAATAATATTGAAGATTAATATTTAACAAAGAAAAATGACACTGCAGTATGTGGTATGAAGAGGAAGCCACTTAGGAGCAAGAGCTGAAGTAGATTCCCCTGGGGCACAAAGGGTGAATTGTGCCAGCTTCCCTCCATGGTAGGCTTAGAGTCTTGCCAATGTTGGCCATTCACATTGTCCTTTCAACCAAACCCAGCTGACGTCCCACTCCTGAGAATTAGTTTTCTACAATTTGCAACTAACCCCTACCACAGCACTATCAAATTGTATTGTCATTTTTGCATTTTCAAGTTAGTCTCACCTTACCCTGAAAGCCTAGTAAATACTCGAGATATGGAAGGAAATAATGAAGAAAAGAAAAAGAGCAATGAAGAAGATAAATGCTGTTTTCTGTTTGCTCTGTCCTTATACAAAGCAGTGTGTTTGTCTTATAAGAGTATGCATGCCCTTCAGTGCCTCTATGCAGTGTCCAAATTATCACCATTAATGAACCAAAATTTTGAAAAGACTAAGTTAGAGACTAAGTTAAAGACTAAGTTAGAGGAATGTTAGCCTTGATGACAGCAAAGGCAGTAGTATTAATGGTGATCATGATGACAATGGTTCATTTTATTTCTTCAATGTAAATACACCAAATGCTTATTATGGAGATTTGTGTGGTCATTTACTCAAAATCACCTATTATATTAATGTGACTGATGAGGAAATATGCTAATAGTAATACAGTCTATTAAAATAAGATTTATGTATGAAACCAACACTTATGGAGAGCATATAATATACTAGGAACTACACTAAAAATACAACAGAAATCATTATCTATTAGATAGGCAAGACAGAGGTCCTTCATCTAATCAAATATATATAATTATAAATTATGATAGATAATTAAGGGAACATATACAGTACTCTGAGATCAGAAAATGAGTGATCATGAAAGTGTTCTCCAAGGAAGTGAGTTTTGAACTGATGTTCAGGATGAATAGATAATGTAAAGATAAGAACAGGAAGTTGTATTACCGTGAACAGGGGCTCAGTTAACCCTGGATGGAGATAACATACACTTCTGAGGAACTTAAAGAGGGCATTTATATATGCTAGGAAGATATAACACACAGACCGTATCATCTATTTCAAAAATATGTATGATGTAAGTACAGATCAACAACAGGTGCAATTAAATACCAGCGGTAGGCATTGAAAAGGGAATAAGCAAGAGAGGAAAGAACACAAAAAATAAGTAGAAAGAAAAAGAATTAGAGAAGTAATTATTGTGTGGCCATTAACTTAGGAGTTTGATTCAGTCAAGCCTCTGCTCTTGACACTAAAAATGATGAAATAAATGTTATCATTACTTTCAAAGATTAAAAATATATACTATTATAGGGTATTGAGATGTGTTGTATACCTGTACCAACTTCACATAAGAAATGTAAACATTATGTATTGTAAATGTGTACTAATTAAAAAGTAATATAAGAGGTGGCATCAAAAGTTATCCATCTCAAAAACAGACTAAAAATATATATAGAATAAGGAAATCTTTATCTACAATTTTGGAGTAAGACGGAACATGAGTATCCTAGTTCCGCTCATAAATGAATGCTATACTATCTCCATAATTTGCTGCTTTTCTTTCTCTGAAGTCAAAGCTTTGCTGGTGGTTAAGGTTGAAACAATCTCATGTACAGATTGTGAGTGACAGGATGATGTAGTGCTCCATTTTTTCTTATGTCCAAAATAGGCATCCAGGTCATCTCCCCTCAATCACTTGAATCCGGGTCTATTAAGTCTTGCTTCTCAATTAGCATTTATAAATGTATGCATTTATAGTACCAAGACAAATAAACTATAAGTTTTAGGATAAAAAAATAACAAAAAGAGTTTTTTGATTGCCCAATTGAGACATCACAACCCTTCTTAGTCCTTCATCCAATATCTAAACATCACAGAAAACATTTCTCAACTTACAATCACTTGAAATAACTTCATTTGCTTCATGTTCACTATCCCCACCGGACAAGCGATGTGGCTGTGGGGCTTCTACACCCTGGGGAAGAGCCACCCTGTCCCCTAAGTTCCAACTAATGAGAATTATACTCAAGTGGGTTCAATATGTGCAGTGCACAGAAGTGTGAACAGCCGCTCTCGAATCTGCTTGGTGTTGACTCCATAGACAATGGGATCCAAGGCAGGAGGCAGAAGCAAGTAGAGGTTGGCAAGGATGACTTTGGCATCAGAGGCTGTGTGTGGCCCAAAACTCTACACAACCACAGAAAGAAAGCCTGGCCCATAGAAAAAAAGGATGACACAGACATGGGCTGTACATGTACTGCCTGCTTTAGCACGCGCCTCAGGAGAAGGCAGACACATCACTGTCTTCACAATCTGCACATAAGAGTAGGCGATAAAGGCCATGTCCCCTACACCAAGAAAGATTGCCACGGCAAAGGCATAGATGTTGTCCACAGTTGTGGTGCCACAGGCCAGCTTCACTATTGCCATATGCTCACAGTAGGTATGATTAATTGTGTGTGAGCCACAGTAGGGCAGCCGATGAGCCAGACTTGGAAAGAAAACGGTCAGTCCCACACCTTGCAGCACCACCAGGCCTCCAATCTTGGTGCCAACAGCTGGGGTTAGGATGGCTGTATAGTGCAAAGGGTTACAGATAGCCACAAAGCGATCCAAGGCCATGGCCACCAGCACCCCAGATTCCATGGCAGAGAAGGCGTGGATGACAAACATCTGGGAAAGACAAGCGTGGGAGCTGATAGCTGTAGCACCAAACCAGAAAATGGCCAGCATCTTGGGCACAGTGGAGAGAGAGTGGACCAGGTCCACAAAACAGAGCATGGCAAGAAACAAAAACATGGGCTGATGAAGCCTATGTTCCGTCCAGATGAGCAAAAGCAAGGCACCGTTTCCAGTCCGTGCCAGAAAAAACATGAAGCAGAAGGGAGCTGAGATCCAAATGTGGGCAGCACTCGGCCCTGGAATGCCAGCCAAGAGGAAAGTATGTGAAAAGAGGTGAGAATTATTGGAAAGACTTAAGGTCATCATCCTACGTGGAGGAACATGGGACCACTGCCAAGAAAGGTAGACAGGTAAGCTTCCATGATGTGGAGATAAGGAACTCAGGATACATGCCCTCACTGACGCCAGCCCACCGCATCACTCTCAGCACGCTTCCCAGAGAAAAGGTAAAAAATAAATCTCAGTTTAGCTGATATTTCTGTGAGTTCTTCAAACACTGGATAACTGGTTGTAAATACATGAGACAAGAATTTCAAAAACCAGGCTACAAGATTATATATGCCACAGATATGTTTTGATCTGGGGCAGTTCATATAGTCACATTTAAGAGATAAAAATGCTATTGAACAAAAATAATTTCCATGAACTCATATTCCTGAATTCTCTGTGCTGGGCTTGGTTTAATCAACACTGACCCCAGATCGTCCTCCAGACTCATCCCACTACACTTCACCTGAAGCTGCCAGAAATACATATAAATAACATCTAGAATATCTCTTAATTCAAGGACATCCCACTCTTTCAAATCTCACTTGATTGCTAAGGTTACAGAATTATATATGGTTCCTCATGACTCCAACACTGTCCAAGGTCTTCCCTGGATAATTCCCAAATATTTCACTTGCTTCTGTACCGAATATCTCAGTAAATGACGTCACTGCCTCCCATATCTCCCTCTCCTTCAAGGTGGAGTAAACACTAAGTTACTGTTTACCTGCAATAAAAAGACCCTCTTGGTAACAATAGTAATGTGAAGGCCAAATAATTTTATATTACAGTCATTTTACTGAGATCAGGAGAGAAAATTGGCAAATATGCCTTCCAGCAGGCTACCACACTAAGAGTTTATAAGATTATTTATGTCCTCATGATGTACCATGTTCAATACTATCAGTTCAATACTATCAATACTAACTATGCTAGCAGTTCAGTGCTATCAGATTAGAAAAATGAGGTCTGGAAAGAAGTAAACTACCCAGCTTCACACCTCTTTATTAGTGAATCAGACCACAGCTCACAACCAATGACCACCAAGCTACAAGATATCTTCCTGTCTCTGTGTGGGCTAGGGCTCCTGTAGGCAGGGAAGAATCCCCCAGGTCCTTTGGACACTCAAAAAGGGAAGCACACAGAAATCAAATCATAGGACACAGGAGGAATGATTTGAGGGTAGTGTGTCTCTCTAAAATCTAAATACTTAGAGCATTGTGATCCTCACATGTGAAAGAAAAAACACACAGATACCTGAATCTAGATTCTGAATGGCTTTGAAATGTAAGAAGTTATACATGCTCTAGGCATAAGAGGTATAGCCTCATTGATCGTACAGTCTCAGTTACAATAACAACAGCAAAAAAGGTCTGACAGCATGAGGGAAATAAGAAGTCAGTCTAGAACACAGTCCAAGAAAGAAGAAATGGCACCACTTTAAAATGGCTAAATTTCCAGGCATGGTGGCACATGCTTATAATCCCAGCACTTGGGAAGCTGAGGCAGGAAGATTGTTGTGAGTTTGAGGCCAGCCTGAACTACAAAGTGAGTTCATTGCCAGCCTGAACTGTATATGAACCCTGTCTCAAAACAAGACCAAATATATATATATATATATATATATATATATGTCAAATTTCATTTTTCCCTCTAAGGAAACCACTTAATCATTTCCCATACCTTCAACAATAGTTGCTAAGACACTGGGATGATAATAACAGAAGGTGTGAGGGCTGGGAAGATGAAAAATATGAATAGGTCTAGAGCTCCAGGCAAGACCCTGGTTTGAGGCAGCTCTTCTGCCATACATCTGCTGTGTGACCTGAAGCAAAGCATCTAGCCATGTTTTGAACCTTTGTTTCTGCATCACGAGGACATTGTGAGCACTGAGTGAGATATAATAGGTAAAACCTGGCTAAATTTGATGAAAATATTTTTATTGATTTATAAGTAATAAATGGTACATTCTAAGCAATCTGGTTAGGAATAATATAAACTTACAAAATTGAGAGATAAAGAAAGGACTAATGGTATGTGATAGCAAACTGGAGCAAACCAATCAAAAACACCGTATCCTCCCTCCCAATGTCCCCTCCTTTCTTCTCAATAGAAAGCTATTTCCTGCAGCAATCCCAGAGTGTGGTATTGGGAGGGCTGGGGCAAGTGTCAAAAAATGTGGCTTTGCCCACCTGAACACCTGCTTCTAATTATCTCAAACTGCCTATCCTTAAGCCTCTGCCTTCAGAATACTGTAGGAAATAATCATACCCAATGTCTCAACTATCCCCTCAGGGCTCAGAAGATGTCCCTTATTATATCCTCTTGCCTCAAGGAAAAGTCTGACCCAGCAAGCTTAGCTCCTCTACCTCTATCAAGGAAAGACAGTGGCCTAAGAAAAGAGACATCAGAAATAAAACTGAGACAGCCTCACAAATGTTTTCCTGTAACACACACTGTGTCCAAGATGACTAGAGTTTCCAAAGAGCCTACTCCTAAGCAAGGGCTAGAAGACAGTCTGCCTGCTTTGGAATAAAAACTTCTAACATACTGAGTTCCTCCCTTGCCCATTCCACAGAACACAAAGGTCTAAATAGAATTCTAACAATGTACACAGTAGCACCTGCATTTTGAATTTTCCATAGTGAAATTGTAAGCATGCAATTCCCACTCCAAATAGGCTGGAAGACTGTCCAACTTTGGGAAGGCTAGCGGAAAGTTAATATGCAGATCTAGCCTGTGTGTATCTCTCTTTCTTGGCCTGCCATTAGTCATTACTCACCGAAGAGCTGCATTGATTGACCTACTGTAGGGTAAGAATTTAAACTATCAGATCGTAAGAACAGGGTTTTAATGGGCATCTTAACAAACACTGTCTATAGGGATCCGAGATGAAGATTTTACCACCTAGACACCAATTAGTACTTCTACTTTCTCTTCAAATAAAATTCTAACAAGGCTCTTCCTTTTCCTGAGACCCCAAGGAACAGCTCCAGAAGAGAGTATTTTGAACAGTATACTCAAGATGCCTTGCCAAGAGGACACCAAAGCCCAGGAACAAGGAGAGGCTTCCTGCAATGAAAAATGAGAGCATCTATTTAATGATGGTTCACAGAGATCTGATATAGGGAAGGTGATGAAGAAGGTCTGTAGGTGTTGCTATCCAGGTTGTATCTGAGAATTCTGGCCATTTGTTTGTTTGTTTGTTTTCTGGTACCAGGAATCGAGCTCACAAACTTGCACTTGCCAGGCAGGTGCTATGCCACTGAGCTAAATCCCCAGCACCCTGCCACACTTTTTTTTGTTTTGGTTTTCTGGCCATTTTTAACTGGTCTTCCTACATTGGACTCTCTCAGCCAACAAAATCACTCCTGATAATATACCAGACTAGTCTATGGGAGGGTATCCAATAGTATGAAGGATTTGGACATTACATGGAGTAGAAAGAAATTTAAGAACTGAATATGTTCAGTCTACCCAGAAGACATATGGTGGTATGCATGATTCTTAAGGATTTTTCAAATGCAGGAAGAAATTCCTGATATGGAAAAAATGATTTGTTTTAGGAAGGCAAAGGAAAAATCAGAGCAAACACATACAAATTTACAGTTTATAACTCAGCAAGACTTTGCATTTTCAGTATGATAATCTTCTTAAAAAGAAAGAGGTCGACACAGAGTATATTGAAAGGGAAACAAACACACAGGGTTGATTGGGAATGGTTAGAACCCTTCATAAGCTCATCCACTTAGTAGCACCATATTCTGAGGGTATGGAAGAGTTGTACAGGAAATGAGAAGATATAGCAGGCCTCATTTCAGGTATAAGAAAGATCCAGAATCCTAACAAGAAAAACAATGTTCATGCTTAAGACAGATGATGCTATGATAACTTGGAGACAGCAGGAAACAGGTATAATGAAGTGACAGAACACTAGTGCGGAAACTCAGTGGAGACGAAAGGAGTAGGCAAGACAAGAACTAAGATGGACAGGTGACTGGAAGAGAAACCAAGAAGATAAACAAAAGTCTGAAAACAAGGACATTGGATTAGTGTAAATGTGAACTACATGATTAAAACTCAAAGTGTTCACCTAAAGTCAGAAATTCTAAAACAAAGAGCAAAATTAAAGACAGGTGATACGAAACATGGAAGTAGATTTTGTGGAGCTGGGAAGAGGGTCTGGGGAAGAGGGAAAAGGGAAACATGGAAAGAAGGAAGTTAAAATGATTACGATGTGATCTATACACAGGCGTGGTAGCACACACCTGTGATCCCAGCCCTTGGGAGGCTGAGGAAGGAGGAACGCTGTGAGTTTGAGGCCAGCCTGGCTACAAAGTGAGTTCAAGGGCAGACTGAACTGCATAGTGAGACCCTGTGTCCAAAGATTTAAAAAATGTGATATGTGTATGTACCAACTCCCTAAAGTGAATATAATCATTCATCATAAACATATACCAATAGACAAAAGAAAAACTGGGAAAAGATTATTCCAACACAGTAATGTTTCCAACATTTGATGAGGTTGTCCTATATGTTTACAATACACAATTGTAATCATTGTGATAAATTAGTACATATACATATTGCATTAGACCAGTAATACAGATTTAAAAATATTTCCTGAGTTCCTCTTAAAGTTGTGGGAAAAATACAGAGATTTTAAAATAGGTCATGTAGAAAATGTACATTCAGTTTTGACAAAGCATAACCATAGGTAGAATACAGGTACAAGCAGAGTTCTGTAACCATACTGAAATAGGGCAAGCACTTTCACTGGACAGGAGATATGGGCTCTCGGGCCTTAATTCATGACTTGTCACTCACTAGAAATAGAGCCATCTCTTCACTACTATCCCTTGCTACCAATATACGGACTGCACCCTCCCTTTGTCCCCTGACTCATACGAAAGGACAACGTGTACAGTAACATTGGGGGAGGAGGGGAGAAGACAAGATGTCTTCATGTGTGAGAATGGCCACTAATATATAGCCTACAGGGAGGACACCCCCTAAAACATAACGGATTAGTCTTAAAA